AGCAGGAAAAGGCTGGAGTTTGCTCACAGACCACATTCTGTCTATCTCCCTGAAAATAATGATAATAAAATTATAATTGTTCATGTCTTTCCTCTTGCTTGTTCTTCCCCATTCCTTTTGGCCAACAAGTGCCAAGATGCTTTCCCAGCTGCTGCCTAGCCTCTTTTTTTTGGCATGATTTCCAATTAATATCTCCTTCCCTTTGCTCTCCATTGTCACCAGCGTCAGGTCCTGCTGACTTAAGGCTGGTGAATGGCCCTGACTCCTGCACGGGCCGGCTGGAGGTGTTTTACAATGGCACCTGGGGGACGGTGTGTGATGACCACTGGGACCTCAATGGAGCCCGTGTTGTCTGCCGGCAGCTGGGCTGCGGGATGGCATTGTCGGCTGTCGGTGGGGCTCGCTACGGCCGAGGAGCAGACCCCATCTGGCTGGACAACGTACGCTGCACCGGGATGGAGGCCGCACTTTCTGAGTGCCAGGCACGGCCCTGGGGAGCCCATAACTGCGGGCACAGCGAAGACGCCAGTGTCGTGTGCTCGGGTGAGGAACACGTGCCCACCGTGGCCATCATCAGCCACTGTGGACAACCAAAGGGTTAAACAGCAGGCAGGACAATTGTCATGCCACTTCTTGTTGACTGGTTGTCCCTTCTTGTTGACTGGTCACTCCTTGCTGTTCACTTGTTGCTCCTTGCTGTTTACTGGTTGTCCTCTGATTGAACCCAGCTCACAGATAGACACGTACCTATGGCCACCGGCAGGTAGGACCCTTAATTGTGAGCTGGATCTGGCCCCTACAGGTAGGCAGAATAACTCCCTCCCTACCTAATTTTGTGAAGAATTAGCGTTTTCAGTGAAGAATTAGCATTTTCACACCATTGCCCCAGGCAATTTCCAAATGCTGTTCTCACCTTCCAAAGCTCTCCACATCTCCTGGCATCGAGTCTGCAGCTCCCTGGCCATTTCTCAGCCCAACCGTCTCCTGTCTTCACGGGGATGAACCCCTTCATGGGCACAGCCTGTTGGATGCCATCCAGGCTTGCCAGGCAGGAGACCCTCGTAAGCACTGCCGGCGATGGTACGGCCAGCAACGTCTCTGACCGTTTGCTCCCTGGGGGTGTTTGCAGGGACACCCACTCCAGGTGCGACCCGTACCAGGCTGGTGAACGGCTCAAGTTTATGCTCTGGCAGAGTTGAAGTCCTCCACGATGGCGAATGGGGCACCGTGTGTGATGACAGCTGGAGCCTGATGGACGCTGAAGTGGTGTGCAAGGAGGTGGGCTGTGGCCAAGCACTGTCAGCTCTGTTGGAGGCTGCCTTTGGGCAGGGGTCAGGGCCCATCTGGTTGGACGAAGTGACCTGTGCTGGGACGGAGGCTACCCTTGCTCTGTGCCGGGCCAGGTCCTGGGGAAGCCATAACTGCAACCACGGAGAGGATGCTAGTGTTGAATGCACAGGTAACTCTTGACTCCTGCTCCATCGGGGCTGCCACCCAGGCTATCATAATCTTTCTGGGTTTTCTTTGAGGGATGGGTAGAAAAAAAGAGCAGAAGACCTTTGAAATGGTCCTGGATGTAGATTGTCTCCATGGCAGCCCTGATGGGTGGGTGGGTGCTGGGGAAGGGAAGAGAGAGCTTCTTGAGGGGATGCCTATCCAGATGCCACCTGCCAGGGAGGGTGGTGAGTCTGGGGAGGTGGTGAGTGCCTGCTCTTCCCATTTTGGGTGGGCAACCTCCTCACCCTCCAGCTGTGAGGATCTGGGGTGATTGAAGGACTGGGCAGCTTCAGCCCTGTCACCTCTGCTGGGATATCCAGATGTTTTTGGTGCTTGTCTCTTTTCAGAACCGACTCAGGTCCAGCTGGTGAATGGCTCCAGCCGCTGCTCAGGGCGAGTCGAGATCCACCACAACCAGCAGTGGGGGACGGTGTGCGATGACAGCTGGGACCTGAGTGATGCCGAGGTGGTCTGCCGGCAGCTGGGCTGTGGGCTGGCCGTGTCAGCCCCTGGCAGGGCTGCGTTCGGGCAAGGACATGGTCCTATCTGGCTGGATGAAGTGAACTGCACAGGGACGGAAGGTGCAATCACTGAATGCAGCTTCAAGCACTGGGGAGCCCATAACTGCATCCATGGTGAAGATGCAGGTGTCGTGTGCTCAGGTAAGCCTGGTCCAGGTCATGGCTTCAGGGAGAAGTTTTTCTGTAGGTGCGCTTCCACCTAATATGAGTTTACTTCTCTCTCCACAAATGTTGTTTTCCTTTTGGTATAACGCCAGTGCAAGCAACAGTCGAAAATGCTTAGGAGGTGAGGTAGCTCTGCTTCTGTAGGCATCGTATCTCTGGACTATCTGGATGCTCTCCTGCCCGTTTGTGGTAATCCTCTATCTGACACCTTAAAATGTCAGTTCTCAAGTGGTGTGCCATGTCCATCATGGACAGCTGCTCTGGATGTTGAAGTGCTTGTGGTCAGAGGAGGCATTTGGCCATTGATGCTTGACGTGAATGGCTGCAAGCTTCTCCATCTCTATGTCCCAAGATTCTTCTGGATCTCTAGAGGTGGTCCAAGATGGAAAGACATTCCACCCCCCATGCCTCCAGCTTGCAATGGGATGCCAGCCCTGTCCTTACCAGAAGACAAAACCTGGGTGGCTTCGGGGAATATTTGCAAGGACCTGCAGTAGAGCAGAGCAATTAGAAACAGTATGGAAAGAGTCTCCTCCTTGATGGAGCCAAGCCAGTCCAGCCTTCGTTTGGCTAGAGTAAATAAATGCAGGTTTTTAAAGTCTTTCTGCATTAGATATGTTCTCCAAGGGAGATGTAGTCACCCTAGCAGCCATGTGAAGCACGCTTAGGGTTTAGACATGGATGTCCAAGAGTCTTCTTGGCATTGCCCAAGGGAAATGCTCCCTGCGGGGCATCCCACTGTGTTTTTACCTTCTCCTGAATACAACCAGGTCTTTCTGTTGCTTCCAACGGAAGATGCTGATGTGGATGGGGGAAGAAGGAAGTATGGTTATGCACACATACCTTGTACGGTTGCACGTCATTGCCAATACCAGCAGGGAGTCTTCTTCAGAGGGCTGAGGTGCACCATGCCCTCATTTATTCATTTGTCTCATTCCCCCTTTAGACCCCACAGAGCTGCGGCTGGTGAATGGCCCGAATCACTGCGCTGGGCGCCTTGAAGTGCTTCATGACCAACAGTGGGGGTCTGTGTGCGACAACAACTGGGACATGGAGGATGCCAAAGTTGTGTGCCGGCAGCTGGGCTGTGGCGCTCCAATCTCTGCTCCAGGCTGGGCTAGGTTTGGCAGGGGCTACGACCCCATTTGGCTGGAGACAGTCAGCTGCCGGGGGACAGAGGCTGCCCTTACCGAGTGCAGACCCCAGGTATGGGGCACCCACAGCTGCCACCATGGGGAAGACGCCAGCGTGGTGTGCTCAGGTGAATACCCACCACCACCACCGTGTTCCTCCCACATGTCCGTAGGAAGAGCTGTGCCAACTCTGAGCCGTAGCTCCCTTTCCTCCAGAGAGCAAGGGAATGATAATTCCCTTGATACTAATGATAATAATGATAATAAGGGCAAGGGATGCACGGGGATTCCCCTCACTGCTCCTTCCCCCATGTTGCCTGGCTCATTTTCAGCTCAAGTGGACGACCACTGAGCATTTCCATGGTGTGGATGACCATGCTGGGTCCCACGGGAATCCCTGTTTTGTCAAGGTGTCGTATCAGGGAGCCGAGAGTAGAGGGAGCCACAGTCCTGCTTGAGATCCCATGCCCAGCACCCTCTCCACCAGTCCTTTCTGAAGGGTTGTTGGTGTTCTCCTTTGTTGCAGACCCGATGGCGCTTCGGTTGGTGGACGGCCCACACCGCTGTGCTGGGAGGGTTGAGGTGTTTCATCAGCAGCAGTGGGGGACAGTGTGTGACAATGGCTGGGACCTGCGCGATGCCGAGGTGGTGTGCTGGCAGCTGGGCTGTGGGGCAGCAGTCGCAGCCCCGGGCTCAGCTCACTTTGGCCGGGGACGTGATCCCATCTGGCTGGATGAGGTGAACTGCACAGGGACCGAATCTGCCCTCTCTGAATGTGGGTCCAAGCCAAAAGGAGTCCACAAGTGCCACCACAGAGAAGATGCTGGTGTGGTGTGCTCAGGTAACTGTTGTTCCTCTGCGGATGAGGTCCTGGGTACCAACACTGCAGGAGCTCTGGGACCAGTTTTCCTTGCTTATCTCTGACGATGTTTTTTTCCACATGGGAATCCTCAAATCTCGGAGTCAAGACAAAAGCTGAATATGTGGGGCTTCATCCTCCATCACTCCACCACCCCACACTTGCTTTCTCCATCACTAGGTCAACCACGACAAGGCGACACCTCTCTGTCTTTCCATTTCAGACCCTACTGAGGTCCGGCTGGTGAACGGCTCAAATCGTTGCTCTGGGAGAGTTGAGGTCCTGCACAACCAGCGATGGGGAAGCGTGTGCGATGATGGCTGGGACCTGGATGACGCACAAGTGGTGTGTCGGCAGCTGGGCTGTGGGACGGCCGTAGCTGCTCAACCGAGAGCTCAGTTTGGGATGGGGTACGAGCCCATCTGGCTGGACGATGTGAACTGCACTGGCGCTGAGGCTGCCCTCTCCGAGTGCAGGGCTAGGCCGTGGGGAGAGAGTAACTGCAACCACCAAGAAGATGCCAGCGTGGTGTGCCTGGGTAAGCCACCCCATACCCCATTGTGGTGCAGCTCTGGAAGGAACAACATTGGCACATAGATAACGCAGTAGAGAAACACCTCTGCTCTTCTCATATCAAACCTCTTGTGTCTATATAGGAACCAATTTCAGGTTATCTAAGAACAGCAGCTCCCACCGTGAGGACTTTCTCCCAGGAGAACAAGTGTCCGTCACCAACCACCACCTTGCTCTCCCCTATAACCCCTTAACTGGTCCTTTGACTTCTCTGCTATGAGCATTCTTTCCTTTTTCATACATGCATGGTGCTAAAGTGACACGCATTGTCACTGTACTGTAAAGTCCATTGAACCTCCCCTCTACTTTGGGTCCATCTTGTCTGGTTGGACTGCCAGGACACCAGCATCTAGTGCCACTTGTGATGCACTGGCCTCCTGCCACAACTCCAGATGGGGCTGGGTCTCCTGTTCAGCCCTGTGTCACAGTTGCTCCCTCCTCCTGGGTTTCTTGGATGCCTGAGGGCACCTAAAATGGGATCAGATGCCTGTATTTATGCTGGTGACAGTCTCCACATCACCTTGCAGGTGGCCACCGTTTGAGAATCAATCATCCATAGCATGAGCAAGAAACATGTACGTGTTTGACTTCCACATGTCTTTCATAATTCCAGGACCAGCTCAGATCCGGCTGGTGAATGGCTCCAGCCGCTGCTCCGGGAGGGTCGAGGTGCTTCATAACCAGCAGTGGGGGACGGTGTGTGACAACGGCTGGGACCTGAGCGATGCCGAGGTGGTGTGCCGGCAGATGGGCTGCGGGGCAGCTGTGTCAGCTCCAGTCTCAGCTCAGTTTGGGCCAGGGTCCAACCATATCTGGCTGAGTGATGTTGAGTGCACGGGGGCAGAAGCTACCCTCTCTGAATGCAGGTCCAGGATGGGGGAACACATTAATTGCCACCATGGGGAAGACGCTGGTGTGGTATGCTCAGGTAATCTATTTTTTATTTTTCTGAAATGACATTATTCAGGGGAGTGTTGGGCTGTGTGGCTGAAAAGGTGGAGAGTGACTGCAGGTGACATGGTCTCCTGTGAGCCTGGGTAGCACCAAACCTCACGGAAGAACTCAGGTCACTCTTTTGCAAAGGTCTGTCTGCCGTTTTTGGTGGCTGATCTTGCTAATTAAAACCCCAAGGGTGTGGAGAACCTGAGCAACCTGAGAAATGCTGAACACAAGAGTCTGAGCAAAGCAATGAGATGCATGACCAAGGCTTCAAGGGGATGGGAAGAAAGAGGCTTTACTTCGGGACCTAAAGGGTGAAATGCAGAGTTTGTTTCAATCCAGAAAACCACCAAAAGCTGCTGGATTGAGAGCAGGGTAGGAAGAAGGGACCCATTGTACAAATGGTCAGGAAGGGAAGAGTTTTACGAATTCCACTGCATTTATCCTTTTCCAAGCAAGCACGTCTGAATTTTCTCTATTTCAGCAGTTTCCTTATTCTAGCTGACGTTAATTAAAGCCTAGCTTTAAATATCCAACATCCCTCCAGTGTTTGAGGATGTTCAATATAATGGCAGGACCAAGGCTCCTTCTCGAAGGTCCAGGTTGCCAAAGGCATAAAAGGAGCAAAAATGGGCGATGTGCATTAGCCACTCTGAGCTGTGCAGGTGTGGAAGGAGACCTCCAAAAAGGGTGTCTAAGTTGTCCTGTTTCAGACCCCATGGCGCTGCGGCTGGTGAACGGCTCAAGCTTCTGTGCTGGGAGAGTTGAAGTGCTCTACAGGCATCAGTGGGGAACCGTGTGCGATGACAGCTGGGATGAAGAGGACGCTGCGGTCGTGTGTCGGCAGCTGGGCTGCGGGACGGTGGTCTCAGCCCCTGGCGCGGCTCAATTTGGTCAAGGGCGCAATGTCATCTGGCTGGACGACGTGAACTGCACGGGGAGGGAGGACACCCTCTCGGAGTGCCTGGCCAGGCCGTGGGGGACACACAACTGTGACCACGGGAAAGACGCTGGTGTGGTGTGCTCAGGTAATGTGGCCACCATCAGTTTCAAAAAGGGTCTGAACATACCCCAACCCTGAAAAAAATCAAGGTCAGGTTGGACAGGGCTCTGAGCAACCTGATCTAGTTGAAGATGTCCCTGCTTTTGGCAGTGGGGGTGGACTAGATGAGCTAGAGTCTAGAGAATGAGTCTTATGAGGAGTGGCTGAGGGAACTGGGGGTGTTCAGCCTAGAGAAAAGGAGGCTGAGGGGAGACCTTATTGCTCTCTACAGCTACCTGAAAGGAGGGTGTAGCCAGGTGGGAGTCGTCTCTTCTCCCAAGTAACAGGCGATCGGACAAGAGGAAATGGCCTCAAGTTGCACCAGGGGAGGTTTAGGATGGATCTTAGGAAAAATTTCTTCACTGAAAGGGTTGTCAAGCATTGGAACAGGCTGCCCAGGGAAGTGGTGGAGTTGCCATCCCTGGAGGGATTTAAAAGATGTGTCGATGTGGTGCTGAGGTGCGTGGTTTAGTAGTGGACTTGGCAGTGTTAGGTTTATGGTAAGACTTCATGATCTTAAAGGATTTTCCCAAAGTCAGTGATTCTGTGACCTTTAAAGGTCCCTTCCAACCCAAACCATTCTCTGCTGGTGTGATCTCATTGCTCAAGCTTGTAGAATGCACACCTGCCAGTGGCTCAGGGGCTCAGAAACAGGGATGTGCATACTGCAGAGTGCAAGTGGGCTTTCGTTCAGCACAAGCTGGGTCCTACATTTGTAGACCCCACTGGAATTATCTTGAGCACCACAGCCAACAACATCACCTCAGGATGGGTGTTCCCGAGTATGTGCTCAGCACAAGTTGGAGGGGAATCATCCTGGCCATAGGAAATACTGTGATCATAGAATCACAGAATGGTTTAGGTTGGAAAGGACCTTGAAGATCATCGAGTTCCACCCCCCCTGCCATGGGCAGGGACACCTCCCACTAGACCAGATTGCCCAAGGCCACGTCCAGCCTGGCCTTGAACACCTCCAGGGATGGGGCCTAAACAACCTCTCTGGGCAACCTGTTCCAGTGCCTTAAAACCCACAAAGTAAAAAACTTCTTCCTAAATGATGAAGACCTTCCAGGAGGATAAGCTACAGTGTAGGGAACATCCTCATGGCTGAGCTGGGAAGACGAGGACCATGGTTGGTGTTGGAAAGACTTGTCCCAGTATCCAGCCTTGCCCTTTTTTTCCCACCTAACTTCGGACAAACGTCAAGGCTTCTGTGGTCCCCTCAAGGCCAGTGGGAACAGAGAGGTATCTCCATGTCCTTCTAAGCAGGATGTTTGCATCTAGTGAGTTATCCCAGACTGGATGCGCTTGCTTGGGAGCCACCTGAACTCGGATGCAGTCTCCTTGGGGAGAGTACCACAGGGGTGGTACACCCCGCAGGCACCTCTGTCTTAACTGGTCACCCAAGCTTCTTTGAGGTGAGAAATGGGTGACCATGGGGCATGGTTTGCAGAAGGAACCATTCTGCAATTGTCCAGCCCTGGTAGGGACCACCAGGAATAAGCTGCTCTGCAGATCGCCCTACTTGGAGCAGTCAGAGTGGTGGCACCTCAGAGTGGTGGCCTTGGCTTCCCCAGCAGCCCACCCTTGAAGTTGTAATGCACCAGATGGTGTGTGGATGTGGGCATTGAATGGCCACGACCAGTACAAAGGTGCTACAGCACCGAGGGGACCGTGCCTGATGGGGACAGGGTCTTAGCAGAAGCTTTCTTTGTATCTCCTTTCCTGAATCATACAATCACAAAACCGTGTAGATTGGAAGGGATCTCTGGAGAGCTCTGGTCTAATCTTCCAGTCTCTAATAGACCAACTAGACCATGTTGTTCATGACCTTGACCAATGGTGATATGAATGTCCCCAGGGATGGAGATCCAAATGCCTTTCTTATCTCTGTTACAGTATTTAACTGTCCTCATGGGAGAAAAGAGTATTTTCTGCTGCCTAATGGGAACTGGCCACGGTGCACACTGTGCCCATTTCCTCATGTCCTTCTGATGTACGTTTATCTCCTGAATTAGCTCTGGATGAAGAGATGTTTGCTTTCTCCCCACAGGTTCTGTTACCATCAGACCTCCGCAGCCTCTGCCGCTGCTCCCATTGCTGGTCTCAGTCATCCCTCCAGTCTTGATACTGGTCTGCGGGGTTCTTCTGTACCTCAGGAGGAGGCGAATGCAAAGCAGGGCTTTTAATTTCCCCCCAGGTAAGCTCCACTGTGGGTGAAGAGAGCAACAGAGTTTGTAGGACAAATGTGTGGTTGGAAATGAGTTTTGTTTGAAACATTGATGTCAGCGGAGTTGAGGCAGAAGGGTTTTTTCCCTGTGGCTTGCATTGAAAGGAACTTCCTTTTCTGTTTTGACCTCTCCTCTCCCCACCCCTTTTTTCCCCTTCTTTCCTTTTCTCTCCTGCTCTGAGTATCAGTCACTCTTTCAGCCTGCCCTTTCACTTTGACACCACCTTCCCTGCTGGGTTATGGACACACTGGGAGGTGGGACAACTCTTGAAGCCTCCTCAAACACTGCCTGCGCTTCCCTCTGTACCTCAGACAGGAGGTCTGAGCATAGGATGGCTCTGTGGGTTCCTAGCTCCCTGTTGGCAAGGGATGTTCCACCTTTAGTCCAAGCAGTGAGAAAAGACCAGGAATTGTGTCTGTTCTTGAAGTTTTAGAGCTGTGGTGGAGACTCTTGGAAAGTGGGATTGGGTAGTTGTGGTTGCCTGTGTTGAACATACCCGTGTTGTCTTGTTGAATGTCCATTACGTTGATGCAAGGTGCTGTGTGTGGACCAAGTGCTGGATCAAGGGTGGTTTCTGCAAAGCAGGCTTCATGTCCGAGTGCTGGAAGGGGCGATGGTGGTATGCCCCGTGCTGCCACTGTTGTTGGCCAAGCCAAAGTGATTTGGGCTGTCTCCAACAGAGTGCATATCCTCAGTTAGTCTGGTTAAAAAGGGGAAAAATTCAGGCTGTGTGGAGCAAACCATCGACCGAATCACCCTTCTCTGCAGGTTTTGTGCGCATGGAGGAGTTGGTTGTCTCTGACGCATCCATCTCAATGCCTGGAGAAGAGCAAGCAGCAGCCAAGGTGGCTCCTGCTGGGGATGATGACAAAAGGAGCGCTCAGCACAGCCCATGACCAGCCCAGACGTAAAACTGCGGTGATGCAGCTCCGCCGCAGCACACAGCTCTTTCACCAAGGGCCCTGGACCATCTTGTCTCTACAGAGCTAGGTCACTAGATCCACCACCCATCTCCATGCCCACCTTGTTCAGCTACCCCAAGTGATACAAGGCGTGACACACACCATGCGACACCAACAGTCTGCATGCAGAAGACACATAGGAATTTTATGATTTTTTTTTCATATATTCTTTTGTGCATTTGTGAAAATAAAAACATTCTCTAAGATTCGAGCAGCGTTTTACTCTTGGAGGTGTTTTTTTTATTCTTTTTTTTTTTTTTTTTATAGCCAGTCAGAGGAGGCTGCAAAGTTTACGCTGAAGTATATGCCAGGGTCTTGTTTCCCGACAGCGGTTAAGTTGAACAGTTTTGCAAACTCCACCTGAAAGCTCAGTTTAGGCCTTGCACAGATATTTAGAGCCATCCGAGATGCCCTGCATCTCGGACACTGATATGAGACTGGCAAATGTGACAATGGACCCACAGCTCACTAGATGTATGGGAGCAACTTGATGTCCCTGATCTGTTCCATCTGCTGTATAGAGGAATGCTGGCAGGAGGTTTAAGAAGCATGCATCAAAAGAAATATGGCCAGCAGGTCAGGGGAGGGGATTCTCCCCCTCTACTCTGCTCTGGTGAGATCCTACCTGGAGAACAGCATCCAGCTCTGGGGCCCCCAACATGAGAAGGACATGGACCTGTTGGAGCGAGGACAGAGGAGGCCATTAAGATGGTCAGAGGGCTGGAGCCCGTCTTCTGTGAGGACAGGCTGAGAGAGTTGGGGGTGTTCAGCCTGGAGAAGCCTCCAGGAAGACCTTATAGTGGCCTTCCAGTATCTGAAGGGGGCCTACAAGAAAGCTGGAGGGGGACTTTTTACAAGGGCATGTAGTGGTAGGACATGGGGTAATGGCTTCAAACTGGAAAAGGGAGATTTAGATTAGATATTAAGAATAAATTTTTCACTATGAGGGTGGTGAGTTGGGAGGTGGGAGGTTGGTTCCTTCCAACCTAAACCATTCTATGATTCTAAGCAGCTCTGGTCATAGAAATAAGTACTGGGTATTACCACAGCTCATGCCAACCCAAGTGGTATGGGACTATGAGCAGCTGAGCAGGACCCCATGCAAGCACCCTGCTGTGTGTTGGCAAGACAGTCCTGCTCATGAAGGACTGGGACAATAGATAGGTAGCCAACCAGAAGGAAACAGGATGAGTGATATGATTGATACCGTGGCTGTGGTGGGGTAAAAGCATGAACTTGGATCCATGGCTTGGATGAGTGTACTCTTCACTGGACAAAAAACTGGCTGAACGGCTATGCCCAGAGAGTGGTGGTGTATGGAGTTAAATACAGTTGGTGGCCAGTCACAAGTGGTGTCCCCCAGGGCTCAGTACTGGGGCCAGTTCTGTTTAATATCTTTATCAATGACCTGGATGAGGGGATCGAATGCACTCTCAGTAAGTTCGCAGATGACACTAAGCTAGGTGAGCATGTTGATCTGCTGGAGGGTAGGATGGCTCTGTAGAGGGATCTGGACAGGCTGGACCGATGGGCCAAGGCCAATGGCGTAAGGTTCAACAAGGCCAAGTGCTGGGCCCTGCACTTGGGTCACAACAGCCCCATGCAGTGGTACAAACTTGGGGCGGAGTGGCTGGAAAGCTGCTCGGCAGAAAAGGACCTGGGGGTGTTGGTGGACAGCCGGCGGAATATGAGCCGGCAGTGTGCCCAGGGGGCCAAGAAAGCCAACGGCATCCTGGCCTGTATCAGGAATAGTGTGGCCAGCAGAACTGGGGCAGTGATTGTCCCACTGTACTTGGCACTGGTGAGGCCCCACCTCGAATACTGTGTTCAGTTTTGGGCCTCTCACCAGAAGGACCTGTCCAGAGAAGGGCAACGAAGCTGGTGAGGGGTCTGGAGGACAAGTCTTATGAGGAGTGGCTGAGGGAACTGGGGTTCTTCAGCCTGGAGAAAAGGAGGCTGAGGGGAGACCTTATTGCTCTCTACAGCTACCTGAAAGGAGGGTGTAGCCAGGTGGGAGTCATCTCTTCTCCCAAGAAACAGGTGGTAGGACAAGAGGAAATGGCCTCAAGTTGTGCCAGGGAGGTTTAGGATGGATCTTAGGAAAAATTTCTTCACCAAAAGGGTTGTCAAGCACTGGAACAGGCTGCCCAGGGAAGGGGTGGAGTTGCCATCTCTGGAGGTATTTAAAAGACAGGTAGACTTGGTGCTGAGGGACAGGGTTTAGTGGTAGACTTGGCAGTGTTAGGTTAATGGTTGGATTTGATGATCCTAAAGGTCCCTTCCTACTTAGAGGATTCTATGATTCTATCTGCAACGTTGGGGAAGAGAGGAAATAGGGGGTCGCAGGGGCTTAGAAGATGAAGGCTTGGAGTACCCTAAGAGGATTGACAAAGCTGGAAAACATAAGATGGCTTGCACAATGTGTGGAAAGTATCTGCCAAGGAAAATGAGGAGCGCACGAAGAGCCCAAGAAGGCTAAAAGCTTGGATAACTAATGAGTAAAAGTTGGTGCTATGGTGTGCAGGACACCTGCAAAGGAAGACCAGACGAGACTATGGTCAAGTCTGTGGCTGTGGTATGTATGGAGGAGTGTTTACGGTTTGTGGAAGCACTTCTCTGAGCATTAACTCTTTGTGTTAAACTTACAGTAAGCCTTGTGTGAACATTTCATAGTCCAGTTGATGGTGATGGGAATTTTCAGTTAACATCTTCATGGGTTGGTCCTGGGCTCTGTTGCACTAAGAAGGAGTTACCCAGGGCGCACACTCTCTAATTTCTGCTGTTTTTCCAGGTCCTATGCTCATTTTTCTGCTGTTCCCTCAACCTGAAGGTCTATGGCACTAATCTTCCTCATGCAAGGGGGCTTGGCAGCTGGTTATCAAGGGTCCAGGCTTTTTCTGGGGAAGAGTGTGATGTTGATGGGGTTTCTTCTTCCTCCTCACCTTCTTCCATTTTCAGATTCACATGGTTTCTGACATACCTTCACACTTTGTTCTTCCCTTACCTGCCTGCAAATCAATATTGTGCCCAAAGTGACTATATATAGGACTTTTAAACTGTGTTGGATGCTTTCTTTGTTAACCCTAAAACTGTTTTTGTCCAGATCTAGGCCTGCAAGCTGACCATTGGTGAGCTGCTGATTTGGGCTTTCCAGTGTGCCCCATCTCTTATCATCCCATGCCTGTCCTCTACACCAACTTGTGTGTTTCCACTTCTGCTGTAACACCAGTTGCATGTTTCTCCTTGGACTTGAAAGCCCCAGGACACCCCTAGATGTCCTGCACTCCGTGGGCTGCTTCTGGAGGGTGGTAAGGACTAGAGCAGGGCTGAGTCTTATCCAGTCTCCCAAAGCTATCTCAGCAGGTCTTGTCCCACCAGGCACTCAGGTCCTGGCACTGTGACCTGAGGTATGCAACCATGGTCCCTTTTGTGCTGCAGGAACACACTTTAGTCAGCTGAAACCTACCTTATTTCAGGCACTTTGAGATGAAAACATACATCAGACTGAATAGTTCTGCCTTCGGCCACAAGGACATCCCGTGATGACCCCTGACTGCCTTGATCCTGCTCTCTGCTAATGAGCAGGGTCATTCCCCTAATGACCCTAATGAGGGTAAGGGAGACGCACACAGCAAACTTTGCAAAGTTAGCTTTTCTTTCTTCTCGTTCCTAAAGCTGTGGCCCAGGGCTGAACTCTACCTACCTCCACCCCTAGGAAGCACAGTTCCCTCTTCAGCCTTTTCCCGGCACGGTTTTGAGAAGTTCAGATCCAGGGTCACAGAATCACAGAATCACAGAATCACAGAATGGTCAGGGTTGGAAGGGCCCTCTGGAGGTCATCCAGTCCAACCCCCCTGCCAGAGCAGGGTCACCTACAGCAATTGCACAGGACGGCATCCAGGTGGGTTTGGAATGTCTCCAGAGTGGGAGGCTCCACAACCTCTCTGGGCAGCCTGTGCCAGTGCTCTGCCACCCTCACAGGAAAGAAGTTCCTCCTCATATTTAGATGGAACTTCCTATGTTCAAGTTTGTGCCCATTCCCTCTTGCCGTTACTGGGCACCACTGAAAAAAGACTGTTCCCATCCCCCTGGCACCCTCCCTTTAAGGATTGATAAGTATTGATCAGATGTCCCCTCAGTCTTCTGTTTTCCAGACTAAAAAGCCCCAAGTCCCTCAGCCTTTCCTTGTAAGAAGGATGTTCCAACCCCCTCATCATCTTTGTAGCCTTTTGCTGGACCCTCCCCAGCACTTCTTCTTGAACTGGGGAGCCTAGAACTGGACACAATACTCCAGATGCAGCCTCACCAGGGCAGAGCAGAGGGGAAGGATGACGTCCCTTGACCTCCCATGCATGGCTGGGTGGTGATCTCAGGCTGCTGTAGAACCTTCCGCTCCTTCAGCTCGTCTGCCGATGAGCCATTCTAGACACATCCCTGGGTTCCTCCAGCTTGATGCGACCTGAATATTTGACCAGGGATGCTCAGTTGGGTCTTTGCAGAGAGCTGGGAGGTGAGACAGGAGATCCAGCACCCAATGTGGTGGGACAGGCAGTCCACCCACCACCCAACATCTCCTTGGCACTTTGACTGTACAACCTGTCCATCTTTCAGGTTGTGTTTAAAGCCCATGGAGGTGGCAAGAAAGAGTTAGAAGTGGGGTAAAGCTCTTTTTAAGGGTAGAAACGGGACCTGGGTAGCTGAGTGCACATGTCTCGCAGCACTGAGGGACACAAGGGCACCTTGCAAAAAGGAATTGGCACCCACACACAGGTCTGAAACATCCAAGCTTGGGGTCTGCTGCTCCTACACACATTTTACAGCCTGTCCCTGCAGTCCCTTTCAGTGCCCTCTACAAATGGGCCCTGGGGGTAACTCCGGTCCATGCTCTGCTACCCCAGGGCGCTGACACTTCTGACTCACCCGTCATGCTGCCTTCTCCATGGGGTGATAAATAAGGCAGTGGCCCTTGCTGACAGAGATGCTTCTCCATGGGATATCCATTTTTGTGCCTCCTGAGTACCATTGCAGTGATGATCCCCTGGGAGTCCTCCCTTCTTCAGGAGGCCCTTGGGGGAGGTTCAGTATGGAGGACATGAAAGGATGTGCAGATGAAGGGGTGGGGGGTTGTCAATGTGTCCACAGGCAGCAATTTGCTTCGTACTCTCTTCATCTACTCCCCAGTCATGACCATGACACTGAGCACAGCTTAGGTCCCTCCCAGGTACCATTTCCTCCCTGCTCTCAGCCCTGATGGGGCTGCACTTGGCCCCTGGAGGGTCTGCAAGAGCAGCTGGGGCTGCCTGTGCTGGATCCAGAACCGCAAAGATCCTTGGGGGTTTTGGGGTGGATAAGAAGGGCTGCCAGGACATGTGGCAGCCCAAATGTCCAGGGATGGTGCTGGGGAGTCCTATAGCCTGGCTGCGAGGAGAGGGGCATCAGGTGTGTTGGAGAAAATCATGAAATTGCCAGCATCAGGCCATTTATACTCAAAATTTTCAAGCCGTGAGCTTCTTCCATTCCTGTTATGGCTGATGGATTTTCCCCAGCTCAAGATATTCCCTGGGATCTCTCATTTGCCTTTACCTAGACAGAGTTTGCAACAGATTAATTCATCATTGAAGATTTTGGAGTCTTCGGATCAGTGGAAGATGCTGAGATTTGAAGACTGAAGGGTAGCAGAAGATGAGTCCTCGTTGCATCTGCTGCGGTGGGCTGAACTGTGGGGATGCTGGCACATGCAGACCTCACTCCTTTGCAATGACCCCGAGGAGCAGTCAGCTGAGAAAAGCAAGCTGCATGAGAAGATCCTGATGGCTTCTCCCATCTTGCATCCCCACCCTGTAGAGAACAGTTTGCTACGCTCAGCTCTTGGCACATATGTGATCTCTTTGCTCTCCCTAGAAAGTGCAAGCAAGTTTGAAGACTGCAGGGCAGTCACAGGATAGTGTTTCCAAT